TGCAGTGCCGGAGAGATCCGGACAACTGAATATTTATCACGAATCGCGTACAAGTGTTATGCTCGTTTATACTTTTTTTTTTTTTTTTTTTTTTTTACCATCCGATACGATGATTTTTGTGGTACTTCTAATACTTAAAAGTCAAAGTTATATCTGCGACGAGCGTGTTAACTAAATGAATTTTAGAGGAAAAAAAAGGATTCGAAGTAAATTAGAGATTGTTGTAATTATTACTTATGAGTCACATATCGAAGGTACTGCTCCGTTTTTCACAGTTTAGGTTTCTAAGGCATATCAATGACTTTTACGCTGACTTTTGTGTCACCGAACTATTCACGTCGGCTAATGTCTTCGGTTTGTAGCCTTATTACATAATTACATAAGCACTTTTTGTCCCTAATATCAATACATATTTTAGTACGTTCGAGAGTCACATGCATATGTGAAATTCCTATCTGGCCACTCTAACACCGATCATAAATACTTTGACGAATAGTAAATAAAACTGTTGTATTGTATTTTAACTACATACAAATAAGTATTGGTGCACTATTAAAAAATACAGTATTTGTAAGAATCCATTATAAAGTATGATATACATTAATTGAGTATACCTTAAATGAAGGTTTTTTTTTATAAAAATTGTCTGTACATGTGCACATCAGCACAAATTGTGTGCGTTAAATACTGTTTAAACATTGTTCTTATAAACAGTATAAAAATATTTTATTGCCAATTATAGCGTCTAGAAGTATATTAATTGATCTTAAGTATTTAAGTACTCTAATCTGTTTTTTGTCCGTCGTTATTTTTATTGCAAAATAAAATTTTCTAACAAATTATTATCGAACTATTTCATACAAATAACTCTGAAGGTCGCAATTTACAACAAGAGCAAACTAGTTTGTAAGAAAAAAAAAATAATCATACCAAAAAAAGAATCACCCCAAATACTAACGAGAGTACTTGTACATGTATAGCATATCAGAGTTTGCCGAGACGGGAAATACATAATGTAGATTCACCCGCGAGAGCGCATCACTTCGCGCGCCTACTTACATACATGCACGCACTACCTGCGCGCGAGAGAGTAGATCTTTTCTCTCCTCCCTTTGCCCCGTTTCTTCTCCCGCAATCATGCACAGGTATACATATATACATGTAATATACAGCCGTTCGGTCGCGCGCGCGTCGGGCCCGAGGTCCGCCAAGCGGTGGGGGTACGAGGCGCGCGCCACGTCGCTATATGGGAAGACTCGACGGGGCCTCGCGGCGCGCGCGCGTAGGTATACCTACCTCGTACATGCGCACGTTCTCTCTCCCTTTGGGCCCGCTTGCCTTCCCCCCCCCCTCCCAGCTCCACTCCACCACGCCAACCTTAATACTCTGCTCCTTTCAGACTCGGAACGAGAAAGCCCGCTTCCCCTTTTTCTCTATAATGCATTCTCTCATCTTTTCTTCTGTTCCCCTCTCGTATATGATCATCCCTCTCTCTCGGACCTTTTCTTCTCTCTGTCCTCTGTAAAGCCAAGAGCTCCCTTTTTCGACTGTTTCTCTCTCTCTTTCTACAACTCTGGACTCTCGCTCGTGTACGTCTGTAACTTTGTTCTCGGCCTCTATGCGTCGCGCTCTCCTTCTGATCCTTTTAATGCCACTGAACTTGCCATCGTCATAAACAAAAAAACAAAAAAAGAAAGAAAAAAAAAGAAAAAGAAGAAGGTCCTGGCTGCGCGAGTCCCCTTTCATCGGTCCCAACAATTCCCATTAGCACTAAGTCAATCGGATAATCGAAATTAGTGCATAAACCATCGCTATCTCCCGAAAGTTTAACCCGCAGACAGAAGGCGAGAACAAGTCGTATGTTGCCCGTCCGGCAAAACTTATTGGCTATATACCTTTGGAGAGCCTTCGATCGGGCCCCGCATCCCTTATCGCCTCGGAAACATACATTATAAACCCCCTTTCCCCTCCACCTCGTCATTTGGCTTATCCGAAGCTCAAAATTTTATCTCCCCTTGGCCATTATCTTTTCGTTCTCCCGCTCCGACCATCATCATCATCATCGTCCCCATCACCCATCCTCTCCCTCCCTTCGTCTTTCTCTCTCTCTTGCCAGGCCTCTTTATCCATCAGACCGACGCGCGCGAGTGCACACATAACGTATATATGGCTATGCCTCCCCTCTCCAGCTCCTTGCTCGAGCACTCAGCGCCATCCCCGTGCTTTTTCGGGCCCTGCTGCCGGGCGCGCGCGCGCACGCACGCTGATTCTACCCCCCTCCCCCTCGCCGACCAGTCCCTTTTTTTGCTGCCGGTAACTGTTCGAATTTCGTTCGGGCGTGCACGCACATACACGTACATACACACACGCACACTCGGGAACACGGGTAAGTGCTGCACGTACCTTACAGGCCCCGAGGGGAAAGAGATGCGAACGGGGATGCTGCCGCAACTGACTGATGCTGCAGGATCCTCGGCTGGCGCGAATTCAGTGCTTCTAAATTCGACTCGCTCGTGCTGCCACTGGCTACTTTGGGGACTCTTTTTTTTATTTACCGAGATTAGATTTTCTACTCCATCTCTCTCTCTCTCTCGTAGTTGGCTTTAGCGTTTTATTATTCCGAAAAAACATATATACACACGCACGTGTTTCATTTCTTTCCCATTTCTGGTAATGAGTTACGATTGCCGGGGCTATTTTGGGTGCACTGAGGGTGTCATTATCTTCATTAGATGATCGTTCCATCATGAGTGCATAAAAAGCAGTCGACGGGGCCCCCTCAGGGAAATATTTTTTTTTGTTTTTTCTCGATCTTGGTGTTTTTCGCATGAGCCCCTGTCAATTTGAATTTTTCAGTGAACAATAATGGATAGCTTTATCGATGGGCCTTACAATGACAGTCAATTATGAAACACCACCGTATATATAGTAACGAGTAAAAAAAAAAGCTTCATCGCGATAGCAGGTAACAACGACAAGGGGGGAACTAAACAACGGGGACCGGCAAAAACGTCTAAGGACAATTTGGTACAGTCCGTAGGGCCCAATTTTAATGAATCGCCCGACAACAGGTCGGCGGAGGAAGTAAAAACGCCGGACAGTCGCCAAATGAAGATCGCTCGAGCGCGACAACTGCATGCGAGCACGTCGTCGACACAATGAGGCCCAAAATGAAAACAAGAGCAGAGTGAGACCGAGCGAATTTAACTTTTAAATTCAAGCCTCACCGCTCCTGCTCGGCTACTGTTGCAAATAATAATGTACACTGGCATATATACACGGTTGCTTCAGAGGCGAACGCGCGGCAAAGAGAGGAACGAAAATCGATCGTCTTGGTACCTATAACCACTCTCAATTTCTTCGGGGCCCTCTCGATCGCGTATACAGGTATATATGTATATATACACGTTTGCGCGCCGGCATTGCACTTTGCTCTTGATGTTGGATGGCCATACGGTGCAATGTGCGTGCCCCTGGTACACATACGTGCACTTGATCTTGCCCTGCATGCACGCACCACATGTGTACGTACACTGGAACAGGGGAGAATGCGAGAGAAGAGGAAGGAGGCGGTTGAGGAAGGAGAGAGCCGTGTACACGTACACGAGTTTACAGATGTACATTACTATATGTACATGTCGAGGTGCGAGCGAAAGTCCCCTTCGTATACCGGGAGCAGGAGCAGCGCACATTGCAGTAGTTATAGGTTGTACAGTAAGCGCGGGGCCCTACGTGTATAGAAACCGAGGAAGGGGGGGGGGGCGGTCGCGTGCCATGAAGCCCATGAATCGCGCGACCGTGTGCACCTACTGCTTTACTACTCCTGTACACAATGTACCTGTGACGGGGTGGATAGATACGGCGGATGTGTATACACAATGGTATCGGAAAAAAAGGGTGGCATGGCAGGGGTGAGTCCCCGCGCAGTTGCATTGCACGCTGTGCGTGTTTATTTTACCGTAGCTCAAAATGCCGTAGTATAAGAACGACGAAGCACCCCCCACTGGGATGTGTGTATACGTATAGACACACCGGGTCAGACGAACAGTTTTGGTTGTACTTACAAGGTATACGACACTTTGCATAATCATACGCCACTCTTTTTAGGGCCCAAAATACCGGGATCGCGATTTGGTGATTGCAGTGCGCGTTAGTCATCTCTGGCGTTAGTAGACGCGGGTAGGTAAGTACGTACAAAAGAGATCGGCCGAGTCTACTCGTTGATCGAGAATCGGGTGTACCTACGTGTACACGCGCACACACACAGACTTGTACTTGTTACGGGGGAAACAGGAGAAGAAGGAGTATAGAAAAGGGACGCAAAGTATCAGCAGCGTCGCACACACACACACACACACACACATGCGCAGTGAAAGAGTAGCAGGGAGGGGGAAAAGGGCAGCAAGAGGGTTGCTCGGACTGGCGTGCTCTCTCTCTCTCTCTCTCTTGCAACCGTATGGGCCTGTGTGTGCACGTAGCAGTGGCAGCACTTTAGGGCCCAGAAGACGAACAAGAGGAGGAGGAGAGAAGAACGTGCCGGCTATATAATATGTACTGCAGAGCGGGCTCGGCGGCTCGAGGACGAGTCTTACGGAGTAGGTTATATAGTGGGGGCTCGAGGCGCGTGCCCGTTCCGTGGCCTATATAAGGCCCCGAGCCCCCATCTCCGAGGTATTTCGGGAGCCACGCCACAGCCGAGCGCACGTCCTCGCTCATCTGTACCGGCAGTTTGTTCGTTCCCTCTCCTCTTTTTCTCCTCTTGCTTTTCCTTCGGCCCTTCCGAAGGACCACTAAAGTCGTGCTGGTTTTTTTTTTGTCTTCTGTTACTCGCTTCCAAAGTCAAAAGCGCACGTGATCACGTGGTAAATGTCGCCCGCAAGTGTCGCCCAACCCCCGAGATTTGCGCGGTGAAAGTGTGTTCCACGAGTAACAACGTTAAAAAGAACATTGGACTTTGACATTGACTGACAGTGCGCGACATTGAACAAGTTTGTGTTGAAATGACGCTCACCACGGCGGAGAATATCGACGTTTTCGGGACGCAGCTGCAGATGCAGGAGGACTCGCAGCAACCGCATCCCGTTTACATGATGCTGAGCGTGCAACAACAACAACAGGAGCCACAGCACTACCAGAGACCGTCCCCGACGAGCTCGAGTCCTGTTGTGGGCACCAACAACAACCAGCACCTGCGGAACAACGTGATCGTCGAGGCAAACGTCAAGGGTACCGTGAGTATGGCGCACCAGCCCCCGAAGAAAAAGCCGTACGGCTCGCAGACGTGCGGCTCGTCGCACCAGCCAGCCTCGGTGGCTCGTAGGAACGCCCGCGAGCGCAACCGCGTCAAACTGGTGAACGACGGCTTCGCCAAGCTCCGCCAGCGCATACCCCAGGCCCTGGCCCAAGCCATGTGCGTCAACCCGAGCAACGGCAACAACTCGTCGAGCGGCTCCTCCTCCTCCTCCTCCTCGTCCTCCCGCGGTAGTGCCAACAACAAAAAGCTCTCCAAGGTCGACACCCTCAGGATGGCCCTCGCCTACATAAAGAACCTCAAACAAGTGATCGACGAGCACGACTCGGAGCTGAGCGGCGCCTCCTCGGTCAGTAGCAATGAGTCGATTATCGCGTCCCCCATGAGCAGCCAAAATTCGCCGGGGCCCTCGTGCATCGACCTCGACCACCACAATCTCCAACAGAGCCAGCCGCACCACCAACCCCAAGAGTTGCTACAACCGGTGCCAGTGCCACAGCAGCAACAGTTGCCGCAGATGCAGCCCGTGGGTATAAAGTTCGAGCTCAAGTCCGAGAGGATGGACGACGAGTTCCCGGAGAGCTTCCACCACCACCACCACCATCACGGTTTGTACCTGCAGCAGCCGGGCCAGCCGCAGCAGCAGAGCCCTATATACGTGCCAACGCCGAACTCGGAGGCGTCGAGCTCCCCGACCCCGAGCTTCGTGTCGGACGCCTCGTCGACCGGTGGTAGCCAGGGGTACGGCAGCGGTTTCGGGGGTGCGGTCTACGCGGTCGGCCACCCTGACGTGTACGACAGCTACGAGCCCATGAGTCCCGAGGACGAGGAACAGCTCCTCGGCTATTTGACCATGTACCCGTGGCAGCAGGCGCAATGAGCCAGCAGGTTGGTGTTTTTCCTTTACTTTTTTTCTATCTTAGCTCCTACAATTATATACATGTAGTCCGCGTGAGATGTTCCGGTTGAGACGTTTTTTCTTCCTCTAACAAGAGAAATGGTGTTTTCGTTACCAGAACTGAAACGAGACATCTATCTCATCGCTCGACACTAGATGAATGTGCGCGATATTGCGTTACACCCCTCGATCCTCGTGATTATTTATTTCGGTTGTACGAGTAAGAACCATACATGACTCGTCAATACGTCATACGTGTCGGAGGAGGTGATTTCTCGATGTTCCGCGAAAGCAAAGCGGGAATCGTTAAACGGCACCCCCGTGAAATTCATTAGCTACCGACTTCCTCCCTCGGAGCCGTCCCCTCACTTTCGGTGAATATATACAGTACGAGCTCAAAGGGAGCTGCACCGAACAAGAAGAATCTAGGTTTCTGACCTTGCCCTCACAATGACGCGTGCGAGAGAGAGAGAGAGAGAGAGAAACCCCCTGAAAAATCTATGCGCACACATACGGGTATTGTACCCATAGAGCGAGTGCCGTGGGGCCCCATTGAATCGCTCGCAGACTCCATTCAGGCGAATACGTACACATTATATATATATACGTGTGCGCGCGGGTTCCCCTCCCTACGTGGGTCCCCCCTTTTGTACGCGACGATTTCTTTCAGCGAGCGGTGATGCCGGTTTCTCTTTTTTTTTTTTTTTTTTTTTTTTCCTTCTCTTCTTTCTCCCTCCGGGATCCGAGTGCACCACCCGAGTCCTCCATCCCTCCTCCCCTTCGCCGTGCTTATACATAAAAGGGAGCTTGCTTGTCTCTTTTTCCTCCCTTTGGTGTGCGTGTGTATACGTGAGCTACTCCTCCCCCTGCCTCCGCCCCGTGCGCGCGTTTTCCAAAGACGCCTCCCGATCGATTCGTCTCGTTGCCTATTTCTCTCTCTTTCTCTCTTTTTTTTCCCTCTATAGGTTTTTTCGTTCTGCCCGGGTTTTCGTACGTCCAACTTCGTTACGCCAGGATAACCGAGATTTCCGAGCCTGCACGCGCGGACCCACGTTTATTCGCGGCTATTGTCCCTCCCCTCGACGCATCTCGCACGTATCTTTTTTTTCTTTTTTTTTCCCCCCCGTCATCTCAGTTTCCTCATATGGGGTCATTTTTTCGATACCTCCCTCGTTCAATTCGATACCGATCGTCCATCTCTTTGAATTTACCACAGACGACAGTTATCTTTTTTCAAAATGATGAAAAAAAAAAAAAAAAAAAATTGTTTTGGAATAAGCTCGCCTCGCGTGTCCCCTCGTCAAAGTCCCCGAGCGCGCGTTAATTTCTCCACTCAGCAACCACTTCAACCCTCTCGCTCAGGCAGACCGAGGATGCTCCCTTCACCACCCCACCGACCCTCTACTACTCGCTGCATTTAACACGAATGCATCCCATCGGCGTAGCCGAACCGGTAAGCTTCGTCACCCCTTCTTTCCCCCGAAATCATCCCCCGTCCGCTAACTCGCTCTTTGCCGAGCGGAATGTATATGCACCTTTAGTTTGAAATTAAAAGCGAGGAAGGTCGTTGCGCTTTGTTGTTATCTATCTTTTTTTTTTTTTTTTTTTTTTTCATGCTTCAATTGAATTAGTTATGCAGATTCCACGGTGGCTTTGATATTCGAGACCCTCTTTATTCCTTCGTTTTTATGGTAATCGCCACGAGCGTTGATAATTTTTTTTTTTTTTTTTTTTTTCATCGCTACCTCCCTGAAGCTTAAGAATATTAACATCATCTCTTACAGGTATAACGAAAATTTTACTCATGGTCGTATTGTTATTTTTTTTGTTACAGAAATTGCAGCCGGAGAGACCAGACAAAAGGAGAACCAGGTCGCAGTGTACATATAGATTTTTAGAGGGACTTGTAGAGATATCTAGTCAATTGTGCATATGTAAATAGTACATGTAAACGTCGTAGAGTACGATCTTTTGATTTTCAAACCAATACCTGACTTTGATGACCGGTGATTACGTTATCTGTAGAGAGTACACGTTTACGAGAATCGTAGACAATTGTAAAAACCGATATATTTATATGTACAAAAAAGCGCTGGGCAAACGGGGGCGGTTTTCGAGTGACTGTGGTTTGATGTTCATCTCTTTCAGTCCAGCAAGTATTTATCGCGCTATTTGCATTTGATTCAAGTTTTTTTGGCAAAAAAAAAAAAAAAAAAACAAAATTGCACAGCGTGTTCGGTTACCGCAGCGAGGCACCAGCGCCGAGCGTATACGATACCATGTAAATAAGGAGGGGGCAACGGAGACAAGAAAAAATAATAAAAGGATACAGTTTTCATGCATCAGACTCGATTTACTTGGAGGAGGTGCGTCCCGAGTGAATTCTCGTTGCGACGAGCGATAAAAAATTTAAGCCATCAAGTACGGGAGAGAGGATGGAAAAAAAATTTATGACATATCATTTTATGAAAAAAAAATAAATAAAAAAAAAACAAAAACTGAATGCTCTGCTGCGAGTTTTTTCACAGAGAGTAAGCATCCGATATTTGAGATTTTTTTTATAACTTTTAATATTTTACGATTAATTTTTTATACACGTCGTTTGTAAGCGAGTCTATCAGACGCGGGGATGAAATTCCACGTTCGTTTTAGTGCCTTAAAGAAGAGAGAGAAAAAAAATTAAAAGTAAAATGTGAGCGAGATGAGGACGATGTGCTCTCTCCGAGTATGTATAGATGCTACTGCGATGAAATTATTGTATGGCTGTAATAAATTTGTATATATATTTTTATATCGATCGGACGATCAATCGTTATTTACATTAAATAAGAAGTTATATCATTAATTAAATCTGTGTGCTCATTTGCAATTAATCCTTTCATCCCCTTACCAACCAACCTCTTGCTCAATCACTTATGAAAAAGTATAATCGTCCATCATTAGTGGCTGATGTAAATGGAATTCAAGCATTTCATGATTTCTTTTATCTATGGATCTCAACGTAAAATTATTTTGGCTTAACAAGATACTTGTCCAACTTTTAGTGCAAGTAAAATTTTTATCTCAAATTTTATAATTTGTAATCATATAAAAAAATTAAATGTACAAAAAATCTGTTGTACAGCTGTGTTTTCCTTATGATTACAAGGTTAGTTAATCGAAATTAATAATCCCACTGATAAGGTGTCAGATAACGAAGAAATTGAGTAATTAATCAAAATTTTATGTCCAGGTGTTTATTTTTAATACTTAAAAAAATAAGGATGTACAAAAGATAAATAATGAAACGCTAAGAGTCATTTCAGGGAAGAAAACGTGGAAAGAAGAGGTTATGTCAAGCGAAAGACATTTTACCGTTGTATGCTTTTATATTATTTAAAAGAATCGATGAAATTTCTCAAATAGAACTAATGAAAACCATGGAAAAACGCTTAAATATTAAGGTTTTGAAAAAAAATTAAATTAAAGAAGCTTCTTTATAAAAACATAACCTATATCTGACACGCTTTCTTCATGAAATAAAATTACTTGTACCTTCTGTGGTGGAAATAAGGGTACATCTTTATAAAACAATTAGATCCACGAAGGCAGAAAGTACGAAATATGGCACAAGTCTATAGCTGGGCTCGATCGAACCCTTCCTGATCATTTGCTGAACCCAATAGCTCCCCCACGTATTAGACTGACACCAAAGTTTTTCTTCTTGCAATGGAAATTCATCCCGCCGTATCTTGTACACACTAATTGACGGAAACAAGGATCCACCCAAGCCGTTTGGATGCGTACCCTTGAAAAAAAGGCACGCCTCCGACTTCTCCACGGACCCCCGAAACATAAGCACGTCAGAGGGAGAGGGAAAGAGGTGCAGGGTAACGAAAAATTCGGAGCAACGCAGAAAAACGGGGTACACGTACACCCGATAAAAGAACAAACCAACCGTGCAGAGAAAAAGTAGGAAGGGGGGAGAACAAGAAGTTGTTGTTGCTGGGCCTTTGTTCCGAAAGCTGCGTAACGCGTAACGGTCCGAAAACGAGATTAAGGAGACGAAGCAAAGGAGCAGCAGAAAATATATATGTATATACATACCCACAAGTGCCGCACTCGAGGAAGGCTCGTTGTTGAGGTCACGCGAGACGAGACGTAGTCAGGTGGCTGGAGGGCGACCGATACCGTACAACCCTCCTACGATGCCCGAAATGAATCTCCCTCTCGGGCATCGATTTCCTTTTTCATGCGCGTAATGCGTAGCAGTAAATCGATTTTTTCGGGTTCGCGTGTATGTATATACATATATATATATATATATATATATATATATATACACGTATCGCTTGTGGATATATACGTTCGGGCGTAATGAGGCCGCGATTAAATTCTTCGGGGGAGCTAATGCAGATCATTTAGGGGTGATAATGGGGATAATTCGAGAACGCTCTGTTCGCGATTGCCCCCACCCCCCCCATCCGGTTATTTTTTTTTCTTCCTCGTTCTCTCGTTCTCGGCTTCGCGAAATAATTGGATCGGTGAGATGATGATGATGCGCCGGGTTGTACTTGGAAATCTCTGCACTTCTCTCTCTCTCCCTCTCTCTCTCTATCTCTGGATGGACGTGTCGAAAGGTGCGATATATGCTGCGTGCTTTATCGCTTTCAGCTTTAGATTGGTGTACCCCTGAATTGTTTGGCACTTGAAACAATCGCCAGTAGAGTTTTTTTCTTTATAAGTCATACCACTGCTCCACAGGAGTGTCGTTGTTATTTTTATCGATAGGAAAAATTTGAGCCCAAAGTGAATTGGGATTGATAATTTGCATTTTGTGTGTAATCAAGTGTTTAAACTAACGTATTCGATTGAGATTGAATTTGGTATGATGACTTTATTTTTTCTGGTTAGCAGTCGGAGATCCTATCTGGGGGAAAAACAATTTCCAGATATTTTACTAAATTATTAAAAAACAGTATAAAAATAGGCCAAAAAAATCG